AATCCCTAATATTATCCGGGTGTCCACGCAATCTGCAAATATCAGACGGAAGTCCTATCACCCTGTCATACAATTCACACAAGACGAAATAATGGGCTGGTATTGCGATTGTCCGACTGGAAGCCGTACTATAGGTTGCTGTAGTCATGTGGCTTCTGCAGTTTTAAGTCACGAACGCTGGCAGATCAAAGAACGTAACATGCCTTCGGGTGGTTTTGTATCTTGCATGTAACAAAAATTTGACAATCTTGACGCGAACATTTTTTGACAGGATCGCGCCGAAGCCTGCAAAGATTGCGGCAGGATTGAAACGGGATTCGGACAAGATCGTACCAAGATCCCGGTGTTTTCTTTCGAATTTGTGGTTCTTTCGAATTTCTTTTGCGTGGTTACGCAAAAAGAAATGCAGAAACATCAGTGGCGTAACGCAAAAAATAGTTACAAAAGGGAAATTCTGCAAAATTCTGCATATTCTTCTAGAACGAAATATTTACAAAATTCTGTATTAGAACCGAATATCTAGAAAATTCTGTATTAGCCGAACTAATGCGGAATTTTGTAAATATTTCATTCTTGAAGAATATGCAGAATTTCGCTTTTGTAACCATTTTTTGGGTACGCAAAAGAAATTTGAGTTTTGGCGCCATGGGTAATAGAGAATACATCTGGCACTCAAAGATTTGAGTACCAGATGTTATGTAACGGAGATATAATTCAAAGCTATATGTCTCATAACGTCAGTTTATGAGACAGGCACTCAAGAGTACGTATACGAAATGTAATCTTTGTTGGATAGAAAGGATGTTTCTACACTATACTTCAGCGAAAATATCTGGCACTACAAAGTAGGAGTGCCAGAATGTTTATACAACAGAGCTGATTTTGATACTGGCGATACGAATGCATGTGATCCTTCACAGGGAAGTGAGTATATTCAACTTAATTTATGCTGGATTTGATCACTAATAAGTTATTACAAAACAAATAAATGTGACCTGATTTCAGGTTTTTGTGCACTGAATCAGAGAGAAGTGAGGAGAAACAGACGAAGCTAATTGTTGGGCTGCTCTTTTGAAAGTCCTGTATTTTTCGGCGGAATTTTTAAGTTACAAGATTCTGCTTCATTGGGCATCTCATATAAGCTTAAAAGAGTTGTACCTGTCGAAACTGGTCTCTTTTTATAGAAAGAATAAACCCGTAGAGAAGGAAAGTGAATGTTGCTATGGTGCAAGAATATATTCAAGGGTATTGCGCAGAGTCTACTCAAGGTTATCGCGTAATATTTCGTATATAAATAGATGAATTTTATTGTTAAGAAGAATATCTTTTTATTTCTAAATAGACGTTAGGTGAGAAAGATCTAAGTTCACCCGAGAACCTAACAATGACGTTATAAGGGTGAGGACTAAACTCACATATAAAGTCTGGCAGTTCAAATTCTATGTGCCGGATGTTAGCCGCATAGAAAGACGTATTCATAACTAATAGAGAATACATCTGGCACTCAGAGGTTTGAACGCCAGACAGTTTTTCTATGTGGTAACGAAGGTCAGTGGACCTCATGCATTAATGAGACTAACTAAATGCAAATTAAATTTCACTATTCTAAACGGTAAACCTGCTCAACTCGACGAGCTTTTTTTAAAACAAGTGATTTCATCGACGGCACAGCTAAGGAACGAATATGGGAGACTAATTACTCTCCAAACCGAAATGACATCAGCAGTCTTAATTTGGAATGTTTTCAAGAAACTGAGTAGCGCATCTTGTACAGCTCGTCGAGTTCTCTCTAGTCCATGTCTTTTAAAACTAGGTCATTAGCGGTAAAACGAATATGGGAAAGAATACGAAAATCGTCGAGCTTTTGCCATCATCTAGCGCATTAACATTAATTCAGCTCAACACCAATGGTTGTGCCAGATAGATCTCGTCAAAATACACTTGGCACACCGGAAGAAACGAATATGCAAAGGAAATACAAAGATGTCGCTTTTTTACCAGCGGACAAAAAACGTTTTTTGGATCCCATATTCGTTTAGAATAATGAAATGCCATAAATTATATGTTTTCTAAGAGAGCTCCATGAGCTCTTTTTGGCACAACAAAAGAGCGAATTGGCACAGGTCACCAAACGAATATGGGATGGAAAAACACGAATATGTCGATAACTTTACCTACATTCAAAATGTATTCTTCTTCTTCCTTTGCTTTTTTTCCTAAAAATCAAAATCGTGAAGAATGACTCACGGCGTCTATTCGTAATTGCGGTGATTGTGTAATCTTTTCCTTTTCTTTCATTCCGTACTCAATGTTGTTTTTGTAGTTTCAAAACATTCTTGAAATTCTGACAAGAGAACTGTATATAAATATTTTTGGAGTGGTTGTGCTAAAGCATAAATTTTCTTGCGCTGTTAGCCCCTTCAGGATGCCTTACGATCAGATCGCTCACGATGGGTTCGACTACTACCCGTACCATACCGATAATGACTTCGAAACCACCACCGCCAGTGTTTTTATTGACTACAAACTAGAGATATTCGAATCCACGGTGGTGAAGTTTCTTGACACTCACCAACGAACTCGTCACCGCTACGTTCCTAAACGCCCACACAAGACTAAATACTGCTCAAGGACTGTAAACTGTTTGAAAACATCGATGACGAAACTGCTGAAGGACGCATACAAACCGCAGCCGCCTTTAACTACGAAATCGATCAAAAGTTCATCTAAGCTTAGAAAATAGAGGCAGACTAAAGATGTGTACACAAACTCGAAGGGTTTCCAGGATCAGCATGCTTTCGAACACGAAATTAGAGAAGAAGAGCAAGCTTACATAAAGTCCGAAGATGTAAAAGAGAAGGAAGACGTGCCGGTAAACGAACCGAAGCGATCGATTCTTACACGTTCAAATGATGATGGCATCTGTTTTGCCTGAGTACCAACCGCCCACTAATAACGAAATTCAAACTGCTGACTATACGGCAAACTTCAAACTCTTCCGTCGTCACTTCTACAACTTCTACCGTCGAGATATCTATGACTCCTTCAAAACTTCTCCTACTCAAGTGAAGTTGACAAACGTGCGTCTGTTACCTGAAAACAGACAGTTTCAACATCAGCAAAAGCGTTTTATCGAGTATCTCAATCTCAACACGACTGACGACGACTCTATCTCAAAAAGGAGAATGCCTCAGTTAGTGTATCACGGAACAAGGATGAAGAACATCAACAGTATCTGTCAGTACGGTCTCCTCATACACGGCCACACTTATGACGATGGACGGCCGACGATTCAGTCTAGATACCGCGATTTATACGGTCCCGGAGTCTACACGAGTACAACGGCTTTCTTCTCCAGCAGGTACGCAGATCAGACGAATGCAATATTCATCTTGCAGCGATTACCGGTAGAAAGTTAATCGCCGCGCTAGGGAAAAAGAAAGTATTAACGTCGCAGGCATCTAATAAGACCAACAGTCAGGCACCACAGTTTGGAAATCAGCCCGTCCTCAGAAATGAAATACGAGTACTGCCTCTGTTTCTCATGGATTTCAAACGGCGAGCAAGCACGAATTATCCACTATTTCGATGCAAGAGCAGTTACTGTTACAACGAAGTGTGGACGGCGTACAAGAACAACTCTTCTTCTACGGCAAACTCCAAAATAATGATGTCGTCAAGAAAGGTATTAGCAAATCACTGTTTTACCGAAACACTGTTCGCTCGAATCTGCAGAGAAGAACGAAGGAAAGGAAGACGTAGTCAACGTGCTGGCTTGACTGTTATCAAGATACGTGCAAACAAAAGTCAAACGAAAAGTGACTGTGCAATTCTTTTACATTCGGAGCGCATCACCGAAGTTACAACAGCTTAACTAACATTGTTAAAAGAAAGGTTATTTTGTGAAACTTCTCTCGACTAATTTTTCTATATAAGGCGCTTAGTGCTAATGTTAAAGTACTAAAAATATTCTACAAGAGTAAGTTAAAATGTCTAACAGCGAATGGCAATTTTTGAACGGAATTGTTTAACTTATTATACAAGTTAATAGTCCAGATAATAATCCAGATGATATCAAAATAATGTCAAAAAATGTAGATTCACATCAACAACGTAACAACAGCTCGTTTACCTTCTCATGTTCGTGAATCAGTTGCAGAATATGTTAAATGTGGTCTTGCACAAACTCAAATAAAATCTGCATTATCTGTTGATCATTTAAATAACAACCCAATTATCGAATATAATCAGCTATAATCGACGAAAAAATAATCCAGTAATATTTTCGATGTATAATTTTCGTAAATGGTGTAATGAACACAAAACTGGAATACATCACATTCAACGTTTGTACCATATTATTAAATTGATAATGTTGATGACTTTTTTGTATTATTTACAACAAAACAATTAATACAATAAGCCCAATTTACAACTTTGTTACAAGTAGATGCTACATATAAAATCAAATGGAATGAATTACCGCTATTAGTGTTTGGAGCATCTGATGCTGATCGTCATTTTCGTTCATTTGGCATTGCTTTAACATCTAGTGACGAAAATTCAGCGTGTTATGAGCAATTATTTAATCAACTTCGATTCACATCACCACAAGAAGGTAATCTTCCATATTCAGTTAATTATTTAAAGGCCGATGGTGCATTACGAATAACAAGTGCTCAACAGGCAGTTTTTCTACAAGCAACATTTAATGTGTTGGACGCATGTCATTCATAAATGCTGAGAGCATAGGAAATTGGTTCCAAAAGTAAAGTGGAATGATACAGATACTGATGTTTAGAGAAGGTATCAAAAACAATTGAACGCATCGAACGTGGACGTGGACTACATTCCACGCATAGGTAAATTTATTCATTTTTGTCGACGAGTAGATTTAAATGAACATCTTTCTTTTTCTTTTTCCCGCTTAATCGTCAGAAAAGAAAAAGTTGATATGTGCAGAATGGAACAAACTTTCGTTCTCTATTATCAGTTGCACAATCTAACTTATATAAAGTTGAGTTATGTGTTTTGGTCTAAAGAACAAATTTTATCTTTTACTCTAAACGTTGATCTACTCTGCTACCTAAGGAAAACATCACTCATTATGAGGTTAATGTAGAATCGCTCAACTTAACGAGTTAAATGAAAGTGGGTTAAAGTGTGCCCATTTCTACTTTTTCTCTCAACTGAAAGAGAAAACGTTCGACATCGTGACGAGCTGTTTTTCAAGAATAGGTACGTTGCGGCTTTCGACATACAGGGCCACCAATATCACTGCTTGGCTTCATCAAAAGTGCAATTTTTATTTTTTATTGAGATCAGTTTTAAATGGACTTTTTTCCCACTGACATGACTTTGCAGCTTTCTCTTCGGGCCATGGTCGGATAGAAAAAGACGTCTCACATTGATATTAACGCGAACACCTGAAAGTATCTTTAAGAGCTGAGATGTATTAACCATTCAACAAACAATTAAACAAATTTATAATTTGTGATGGATATAATCCGAATCAGAACTATTCTTGTTAATTTGAGAAAACAAATATGTGAACTAACGAGAATAGAAAGTAAAACTTTAATTTAGATATGCTTTAAAAGATGTATGTTTGGCTAATTAAAAGTGTGTGTTAGTGCTAATATATAAAAAAATATATAAAATTCTAATGAAAGAACTTAATTGTAAGCGCCTCTTATAATTTTCCCGTCAAACGTACTTCATATTTTGTGCAACATTTACATACGTTTTCCTCACAGTTATTAACCATCACGCCTAAATTATCAAACAAACTAACGTATGAACTTCGGGTATTGATGAACCTTTCTTCATAAAGTCATCGCAGACTAGGAAACGAAGCACATTGAGATCGATCTACTCGAAGAAACTTCAGAATAATTTGCAAAATGTTCTGAAAAACTATACTTTCTGTTTGAATATGAATAATTTTTGAGAAACTCCTGGTCGTGGAACGTTCATCTCTAATACACATCAGCTTAACTGATTAGCTATCTATCTCGCGCCTTCTCTCTGTTTATATAGTTAAACAATTGTTTATAACATATCTGTGCTTTGCTTAACAAAAATGCGAATTTGTTCTTGTATTCTTCCAAAATATAGACAAAGCAAAGAAGCTTATACCATCATTTTCACCAATTTGTTTTGTGGCTTCTTTATGAAATAAGATCAAAGAATTAATACCGTAACTCGAACGATACATGACTGATAAATTTGCAGCGGATAAAATATTTCATTTAAAAGAAAACTCCTACACATATTTCGATTCTACATTTATCTTTATTTCAACACGTGGAAGAAATTCAAAGTAGATCAAAAAGGACATTTGGTCACAAATCCTCTCCTCCAAGTACCACTACCCGAAGAGAAAGCTGGAAAGTCACAGCAGTAGAAAAAAATCCATTTAAAACTGATCTCAATAATAATAAAACTTCGATTTTTGACGAAGCCAAGCAGTAATGTTAAGCGAGAAAAGAGAGAAGAATGATATCCATCTATATCTACACACGGACAGAAATGAATAAATTTCTTGACCTGCGGAATGTAGAAGCCTTCTACTCTTCTTTGCCTTTTTGTCATGTCATACACTATGTTCACATGGTGTATGGTCATACAACGCCTCCGATTACCATGGTCCGAAGAGAAAGCTGCAAAGTCATGTCAGTGGGAAAAAAGTCCATTTAAAACTGATCTCAATAAAAAATAAAAATTGCACTTTTGATGAAGCCAAGCAGTGATATTGGTGGCCCTGTATGTCGAAAGCCGCAACGTACCTATTCTTGAAAAACAACTGAAACCATTCTCTCAAACAGCTTCACATTTGTCGCGCCTTATTTCTTTCTATTTCTCACACATTCTTTTGGGATAGAAATGCAAAGAAAGTCTTTTTTTAAGTGAAAAATCCGCGGGTTTGACCTCTAGCATGAACAGAAACCAGTTTCGTCTCTTCAGTCTCACATCTTAGGATAAATCCCAGTGAGAAATAAGTAATACCAGTGTTCTTAATCCGCAAAGATAAACTCTTTTGAGCGTTGCGAACCTTTGTTCAGGTCAATCAAATCGCGTAGCACAAAAATTGTTTGCTAGACAATGTATTCTTCAGACTTCGCTCTCTCAAACAAACAAAATTTGACGTCTCGTCGCAGTGCAATAATGCTCGACATTTTTCCAAAGACTATCGCATCTGGACGTATCTTCTCAGCAAATCATTCTAATGATGATTTATTTACAGTAACTCTATCCAAATTGTATTTCCACTCACTTCTCGAGGCTTTTGTAAACGAACTACATTTTTCTGTTGTTACGAAATCGATATTCCAGCCGCTGGGGCATTTTTCGGAGAATAGAATTTCCACATCGACAACAGACATTAAATAGATAATTCGGTCGATTTTCGATTATATTCAGTTCAAACTCTGAAACACGCGAAACATTGCATTGAAGAGTGCATCGTACCTGAATTTCAACGGTTTTCGTCTCCAGACTTCAAGATACGTACTGGCCACTCCTCCGATCTTAGGAAGCTCTCTCTCTCACGTACACAAACTAGGACCGATTTTACAAGTAATTTAAATCATTTCTAACTCTTCAGTGCATAGATCATGATGGTGAACTTACGCTGTATACAGTACTGATCGAGTTGTTCTAATTGTGTGATTAAATGTTGCATGTGTAGAGATATTTCTTTTGGATACACTTCTCGATTGATTTCTTTGATTGTATCATCCAGAGACATCTTTGTTTTGTTTACTCGATAGGCCACATAGATCATGTCGCCCAATACAAGCAGATAGACGATAATCAATAATATAGCACAAACTCGAGTTGCAGTGCATTTTCGTTTCTTTCTCGTGTGACGAGTCTGTAGACAAACAAGAAATACAACACTTTCTCCTTCAGCGGGATGAAATTCTTACTTCAAGTGATCTTGTCTTGCCGAAATTGATGCACGAGACGATACAAAAAATGAGTGAAAGTATCAACAACAGAGCGAGAGCCACACTGGAATAAGTGATTACCGAGGGAATTGGTTTCATTTTGAGTATTGCTGAGACATCCCATGAACTGATGCCTTTGTCTGTCAATGTTTTCAAAAGAGATTGAACGTCGCCGATGGAAAATATGGAACGAGCGATCGAGGATGATATCATTTGAGCGATTCCATTACCATCCGGTTTGTAGCTCGGATGGACGAGGGTAGTGGGTCCATCAGCGGTCATAGGCACCGGTGGTAATGGACGATAAGTGCTGAGGCATGTGAGATCCAAGGCCATTGTGGAACGTTCTCGGGGTCAATACTTAAAAGAGAAAGCAAGCGCAAAATTGTTAGTAAAAGAGAGAGAGATGATCAACTAAAGTCATAGAGAAAAGTCTTGTGAAAAGAACTCTTTTATTGTCATCTGAACACTAGTCGATCTAATGAAACCTTGCTCCTCTAAACTAGATGTATATTCTTTCTCTTTTTCATATAAAAATAAGCCTTTGGTAAATATCAGAAATGCTTTACTTTTTTGCTGTGCGTATCAGATAAGGTAATATGTCACGAATGTACGCGAACTCACTCCGGCCATGTGTCATTTTCGCACAGCAACGTGCTGAGTCAGCAGTGATAAGGAGACAGAAGGAAGAAGACTACGATGTGAAATCATTGATTTTTACTTTGCTAGTGAACTTGGTCGATGACATTCCTCTGTTGGGTCAGAAAAAGTATTTCTATAAACAAAACGAAGTGGGAACGTCGAACGGAAGCGGATCAATATTGATAGAGTCACCAAATTGCTGCTTGCTGAATGGATGCTCTTCCCTTCCGCCATTCGTTTTCTCTGCCTTCGGTCCATTACTTTGAAATAGTTCACGTAAAAATCAAAAGCAATATTCGCTCATCCCTTTTTCTGTGTATATGCGTTAGTTCCATAATAACATTTCAACC